AATGGACTGTAAATCTTAAATTGCAAAAGCACGGAAGTCATAAAAAGATGCTCCTCATCCACGTCTCTTAAAATGTAAATGCGGTCTTTCAAACATATGTTAGCATAGATGACAGTGCTTGGATGCAAAACAAGATAAATAGATGTGACAGCCAATGTATTTAAATGATTAACGTAACAATTTATAACTTCACTATTTGTTCTCATTAAATTTAATATTGTTGTGTTTGACTTTGTTCTCCCGCTTTTTTGTCTTGCAGCTATATAATGAAACTACTGAGTAGTCATGCATGCAAATAATGAAGATGAAAGGATGAGCACAGATTCACATCATTTATTGATGCTGATTGAACAATAAAAAAACAAATGTGTTCTTGTGTGCATCTGGACCCTTAGCTTTATTGTCCTGACCAGGTTCATTATGATAATATTGATATCTGAAATTGGCTAGTGTTCAGAGCAAGGTTAAAAGTGTTCATCCTATTTCATGCAAATTGATGTATGAGGCTATAATCACATCAAAAGACACATTCAGGGTAAATTGCTGCAAGGTTTGTGAAATGATTAACCTTTCTATCTATATGGGCTCTTGGGCTTTTTTTTTTTTTTTTTGTAACGTTATACATTTATTAAAATTAATAACAGACTATTCAAATAATATAAATGATAAATGATATAAATAATTTTCATGTGAAAAATCCAGTCCATGAAACATAAAATGTCTACTAGGCTTTTAAATAAAAAGTGGTAATGACTTACATTTGACTGCATAATTAGCCCATTAAAGTGCCCCTTCTATTTGTATACTGTTTAAATGTTCCAAATTTTAGTTTGGAGGTCTCCAGCAATAGTTTTACTGTGGTGTCTGCAATGGTTCAGTAAAGGATTCAGTCTCTCTAAACCCCTCCTTTCCGTGAGCCTACTCTGCTCTGATTGGTCAGAAGGCCCAGTCTGTTCTGATTGGTAGTCAAAGTAGACATTGTTTGCCGGCAGCCAATGAAGACCATAGGCTGGTATTATGCATTACTGCAGTTCAGAATCGGTTCTTTATTTTAGGAGACAATCCATTTATCGTACACTTTTATTACACTTTTACATTCACAATCAGCTACACACTGTTAAATGTTAGCTGTTGAAATGTCATATTATTTGCAAATGAACATAGTGAAAATACATTAGTATTCATTCACTGGTGTTGTTGGTCTTTTTTTTCCAGCCCGGTACACACATCATTCCTGCTAATGAACAACATCTTGACGGAGTGACTCACAGGGTTCCATCTCCCTAATTGGCACATGGAGTAACATCTCCAGAAATTCTCCCTGTATATGAGAAAACGTTGTTTGAAAACAGAGTTCAAAGAACAAACCGAAAGAAACAGCTTCTTTCTGTCTTTTTCTCAATGTGATTTTATCCAGATCTGTCTTTCACCTCCGCCAGGCTGATGACAGATGTGTATTTGCTCTGCCACTCTTGTTTCTCACTGTGTTTCCTGTTTCCCTCCCAAGTGGGGTTAGTGGCCCTGCTTTCATTTGAACCGTCTCTCTCTGAATTATTTCACTACATGGACGGAGGCTTGAGTTGGCTAAAGACAGCTGCTGCATTATACAGCAGTCCAGTAATATTGCCACATGCAGGCGAAGCATCTGGGAGCGCTTTAGACAAACATGCCAACTTTAGTTAGGCTGTTTCTTGTATTGCTTCCATCAGTGTTTTGGAATTTTGTTCACATTTGTTCTTAAAATTAAATAGTGAGGTTTTAACCTTTTTAGTAATGTAGTATGTTTTAACTTCTTCATCATCCTTCGTTCTCATCCTTTGGCATTGTAAGGACTTTGCCAGGCGTGTGTGCCAACCACGCATATTGCTGAACCTTGTTTCAGTGGTATCGAGTTACAAGCAACTAAGGAATGCGCAGAGAGGCATCGCCTCTCTCTAAACTCTATCCAGAGAAAGACATTTCTTTTCTTTAAAGACATTTAACCAAATATATTCAATGTGTTTTTATGTGTGTTTGTTTCTCCATGTCACATTGGAATAGAGACGATTTTATCATATCATAAGGAAAAGTAGAAATACCTTCATTATGCATTTTAAATATCACTGTATATTCCTTTGACTTTCAAATAATGTTATTGATACCTCCAGAATGCCCGTGGTATGGACTACCCGAATATGCAAAGAAATATTCAGTAAAATATAGTTTACTATGTTTCCCACCTTTGGAGTGAAAATGACTAAAAACTCACCCTGTCCAACATGACATCATGACTTTCAAGTCAAGTGGCGTGTTATCTATAGCCGATGCATTTTGAGCTATCCGTGTGTATGCGTGTATGTCTATGCCATTCACGTCCGATTGATTGACGCTGTTAAATGTCAGAATGAAACAAAGCAAAATGTAGATCTACATCTGGAGAGTGATGTTTTTTTTTTCCCTAGGATAGTAGAGGAAGACTCATGAATTGTATTAACCCCAGTGATGGGTATAGGTTTATGGACGGGTTGGGGTAGGTCATATTTTTATATATACAGTAATAACGTTAAGTCAAAAAGCGATTATGTGTGTTGATAGCACGCCAAAAATGGAAATACGAATTGGTGTGTCATACATACGCAATTTCATGAGATCAGTCTGCCCTGTCGTAAATAATGTTTTGACAAGACAAAGGAAAGCCTTTGCTCCAGAGTTTTGTCGAATCTCATTAAGGTTAAGGTTGCTCCAGAAGGGGCATGGTTTGTGTCCTTTTAAAAGGACACAGACGCAGTCTCCGCCCCCTCTTACTCAGCTGGTCTCCACATCTGCCTTAACCATGTAGTCTCTGACTCGATTTCCCCTCGGGAAATCCTTTCTGTTCTTTTGTTTCATCTAAAAGTTTCGTCTTTCGTCTTGTAACTTTGAGTGTTTTAACTTTTATGACAGCCCATTCTCACCCCCAAGGCCTCACCTAACTGACGCCTTGGGAAGCATTTGACCATGCTTCAATATCTGACGCTTTAGGCGCCCTTTGGCGTCAGTTAGATGACGACCTAGGATCGCGTGTACCCTACCCCCACCCCATACCTAAACCTAACCGCGTCCTCTAACTGACGCTTTCCTTTAGCGTCAGTTAGATGACGCCGTAGGATCGCGTCATGTAAGTGACTCTAAAGGGCGCCTAAAACGTCAAATATTGAAGCATGGTCAAAGGTGACACCTTGGGGTGAGAATGTGTTGTCAGTTAAATGACGCCCTAGGATCGCGTGTAACCCAATCCCAGCCCATTCTCACCCCCAAGGCGTCATCTAACTGACGCATTGGGAAGCATTTTGACCATGCTTCAATATCTGACGCTTTAGGCGCCCTTTAGCATCAGTTAGATGACGCCCTAGGATCGCGTGTAACCCTACCCCCACCCCACACCTAAACCTAACCGTGTCATCTAACTGACTCTTTCCTGATCCTACGGCGTCATATAACTGACGCTAAAGTGCGCCTAAAGCGTCAAATATTGAAGCAAAGGTGACGCCTTGGGGTGAGAATGCGTTGTTTGTGATGTTGTTTCTGCTCAAACTGCTACATTACACACTAACTACTAAAGTTAGAAAAGTGAAAACATCCTTTGCCACCCCTTTAAAAATGTCTCAATTGTATACATTTCTTGTCACTGTTCGTTTATGGCATTTATTTAATAGTTCCTGCAAATACATAAGGGCGTGAAATTCAAATATCAAGGAATTAATTTAGATTCACAGTCAGTGTTGGAGAAAACAATAATAATGTGCAAAAAGACAGCAGCACACTTTCCATGCATCATCAAATTATGTATTTTGTGATTCATTGGACTCTGTTTTACTGCTTTACTGGTTGACTTTTTTTTTAAACTAAGCAATTAATTATATTTTCCTCAATATAGAGCAGAAATTCATAGAAATGACAAATTAGAAATGACCTTTGTATCTGCTGTTCTGCAGTTACAAGCTGGAACAGCCACAACGAGAAAGGGTAAGATGGCAAATAATAGATGAAAAAAAAAATAAAAAAAATACTCTGGATCCATACTGCACTGCAATTTCAGAAATGTGTGACGGGGACAAATGTACTGTGCATCATTAAAATGGCTCATGCCATGTCAGACCCACATGGAAAGAAACTATATGAGGATATATGCGCATATATGAAACCTATATGCAGTTTATATGCACATATATGCTGCATATATACAGCATATATGCACATATATGATAATATATATGCTGCATATGTGTGTATATATGACACATATAGGCAATTTTAGGTGCATATATGCACATATATGATAAGATATATGCTGCATATGTGTGTATATATGACACATATAGGCAATTTTAGGTGCATATATGTGCATATACAGGCCATATACTGTAGGTCTCCTGCATTGCTTCTTTATATCCACACATAAGTGTTATATACAAGAGTATCCTATACTGTAGTGTAGCTCATGGCAGGATCTGGTCATTTTCATCCACTCTAAACAATGCTGGGTTGTTTGAACCCAAATTTGGGTGAAATATGGACAAACCCAAATGTTTGGTTAAAAATGTAATTTCAAATTTTAACCCAAATTCAACTTTCACTTTCACTTTTTCAACTGTACATTTTTTTAATTGCATTTTTAACCCAACATTTGGGTTTGTCTATGTTTGACCCAAAGCATTTTTAGAGTGTATATGTCACTATATTGCTCAAATAAATAAATTAATATTTATATACATATCAGAATGACTTAGTGGAAAAGAAGGAAATGTATAACAAAATGGTTTGTTGTTTTTTTCATTTTACCAAAAAGCCCTTTTTCCAATTTCAAGTCACTTTCCCATACACATCCACACATTCACCGATACATCCACCAAATGCAATGCAAATTGCAATGTTTTCTGTATTGTCTGAATGCAGTTTTTTTTTTTTTTCTGGCTGAAAGGTCATTACAGTCAAAAAAAAAAAAAAAAAAGTGAATAGAACGTAAATTAAATAATAATCATCATCCCACCATCCCACCATCTATCTGAGCAATTCACAGTGGTTAATAAATTCGAATGCTGCTGCACTGCCGATTGGCCGCTACAGCGCCCCGTAGTTGATGACGTCACCCGCCTAACGCTTGACGTTATCCGTATCCGATGAGATGAAGTCAAGTTTCGCGCCGGAAGATAACGGCTGGGAGTAAAAATTGCGATTTCAGCATTGGAGATCCTCTAAGTCCTACTTATCACCAATCGTAAGTATTCCTAATTTTATATTTATTTGCAGGGTGGAAATTGCGGTGGCAGAGAAGTATAAACTTAGCATTTATTTTTTGCCAAACACACCTGTTTCAGCCCATACACTTCCTATGTTGTTAGCTGGTGAGGTAACGTAACGTTACTGTGGGTGCTAAAATAACTTAGCCGTTGATAAGATTCAATTTAGAATTAACGTGTATTTATTTGTTTCTTTCAATTCGTAGAGGGTTATCAAAAGTCATGGCCTAGAGAACATAACGTCATGAGAATAAATGATACTTCTCTGCCAACGGCTCAAGAAGGCAATCGGCTCCAGAAAAAAAAAAAATACCTGTGGAGTTTGAATTTGGTCGAAATTGGTGAAAGAAAGAGCCGTATCAATGGGCTTGCCTTTACAGTTGCAGGAAATGTCTTTCAAATAGTAAACATTAACGTTAGGGCATTACTATTTTGATTAAGTGATTGTAATTGGTTTTTTTTCTTTATATAACCTCTTTCTAGAATTACCTCAAATGAAAAGTTACCTCGCCATTATTGCTCAAAAGGTAAGTTCCTCTGATTTTGCTTTTTAAAATTGTTTCTCTAGCAGAGCTGTAGAGACTTGTAATGTTGGGCTGATTGATAGTGTTAATTATTTGATTTAAGTTATTTGCACTTTAATTTATTGAAGAGAATAACTTTTATTTTTCTTCTATGAACAAGACTGGAAGGAGTCCTGTTGAGGATTTAGATTCCTCCTCTTTTTAAAAGAGTGACCGGTGAGTAACCCCCTTGAATTTTTATTTATTTATTAATAAATATCCCCATCCCCACCCCGACACCCTATCCTCCTCCTCCTCTCCTTTAAGAACATTTAGGGCAATTATTAATTTGTTTCATATTATTATTTTGTGTAATATTATTATTTTGTTTCTTTATCATTAATCTGCATTCATACATAAAAACATATAAACTATTGGGAAGCTAAGCATAAGAATCAATATGAAACAATGCCAATAAATGAATAAATTATTTTTCAGATTGAAGTTATAAAGGGCTCTGGGGTGTTTTGCCAGGCAGAAGTGTGGAAAGCAGCCCTCCTTGCCACCTCTGCTACTGCCATGGTGTGGAATCTGCTGCTGGGCACATTTGATCTGGAGACTTTGCTGAAAAACAACCTGAATGGTACAAAACATTCTCCTAATCTCTTCTGTCCGTAAAAAACAATTAATATTCTGTGGAATAAATTATGTTTGTGTGCGGGCATACCATCGCTTTTTTACTTGCCATTTTTGTATTTCCTTGCACCTCAAGAAAATGTGATGTGTATATAAAAAAAGTATTGCTTTCACAAGCTTCATTTTAACCCCCTTTTATAATAATTTTGAAATTTTACTTTAAGGTGGGAAGCCAACCAGAGGGGATGGGGAGCAGCTGGTCGCCCTTGACCAAATTAAAAAGGCATCATTATTGGTGAGTAAATGTATAAAAGTTTTGTTTTCCCTTCTCAACGCATTAGGATTTTATAAGTTCACCACTTTAACCATAGCCTACTTGTATCAATGTTTATTAGGCATCAATTGAGACTGTATAAGGGATTATTGTTACTATATCTACTTGGAACCTATAATACTAATTCATCGCTTGCTCAGTTCTTGATCCTAACTTTCCTTTTCTTAAGCCACGTTTCAGATTTTTCAGAATCTTCAGAATCTTCCAATTGACATGTTTACATGACGCATTTTTTAAAATGATCAACCTTTTATCAAAAAATATGTGTCCGATCACATCTGTACTGTAAGCACTTTGGGTTCCTGATGAAGTACTATATTCTTCTTCTTCTTCTTCTTCTTCTTCTTCTTCTTATTATTATTATTATAGTGTCTTATTATTTTTGTCTTCTCTAGATGCTACATTGAAGAAGTGGCCGTCAGCCAGCCAAGGGGAGATGGGCACGTCTATCAATTCAAAGCTCATGGAGCTGAGAAGATCAGAAAGATTTTTTTTCTATCCAGTTTTTTTGTCTTATTTTTGTTTTTGTACTATTTGATCTTAAGTAAATAAATAATCTAAATGCATACATTTTGGACTATTATTTATGTTGCCTAGTAGCTATGGATTTTAATAATTATTCTAATATAGGTAAACATGTTGGTGCATGTATAAATGCACCTATATGTGCACATATATGCGTACATACATGTACATATATAGGTACATGTATGCATGTATATATGCACCTATATGTGTACATATATGCATGCATACATGTACATATATAGGTTCATATATGCACAAATATATGCACCTATATGTGTACATATATGTGTGCATACATGTACCTATATAGGTGCGTATATATGTGTACATATATGCACGTATATATGTACATATATGTGCATATATGTACATATAATATAGGAAAACGGCCAATTTTATATATGTCACATATATTAAAAACATATATCAAAACCTATATTAAAACATATATGTTTATATAGGTTTTTTCCATGTGGGGAGTGGCAGATGATGGGTATCATAGATGGATTGTTTTTCTTGTGAGTGACATGTCACTGCAATACCCAACAAGAGTATTTTAAATAGACATAAATATACATTATATATCGAGTTGCATGATTTGAATGAGCCCATGTGGATGCCATAGAACTCCAGATGCAGAGATATTCTCCTTGGCTTTTCCTGTCAGGTTTCATACTGACTAATAGCCTGGTCATGATTGACTACTTTGCATGACATATGATACACCCATCAGTCTGAGTCTATCACGCTGTTAATCACAGTTGAAATATGGAAGAATATGTATGGACAGTCTCAGTAAATCATAGTTATCCTTCATCAGGGAGTCAATTATGCAACACACAAAAAAGGCTTTCTGCAATAACCTTGAAGATCTGAAATGTTAAAAAAAAAGAACCAGAGTTAGAGAGCTGAGTTATAAGATCAAATCTAGATAAAATGTCAGGCATCACTGAATATCCCTTTAATCAGCTTCTATCCTGTTTTACCTCATTTTTACGATTTTATCAGCTTTCCAGATTAAGAAGGTATTAGTAATAGATATAATCCTTAGAAGTTAGAAACTGAAGGATCCTTTGAGACCTATTCCAATGCACCCTCAGTATTTCAATGTTGTACTTGTAGCACTGTTTAGATGGATTAGTTTATCAAACCTAATAAATGAATTACAATTATTAATCGAGGATGTCTGTGATTTCATGTACTGATTCAAGGTTTAACTGATAAGATTGTCTATTGTCTGGATATGAGCATTGTGGATGGTCATGTACTGAATGTGTGCATCACAAAACAATCAGTTAGGGCCAGATTTACTGACAGCTTGCACCAGCGCAAACCCTCTTTTGGTGTTAAAAAAAAAATCGCACGTCACCCAGCATTTTATATCTTTAAGACACTGTCAATTTAGATGAGTTGGTGTTTTCATCTGGTCGTGAGTATCATCAGCATAACAGTGGAAATTAATTCCATGTTTTCTTATAATATTACCAAGTGGCAGCATCTATATTGAGAATAGCAAAGGGCCTAAAACCGATCCTTGTGGCACTCCATAGTCTACTGACGTTATCTTCGATTTTTCTCCATTTAAACATCAGTGTAGTTTTGTTGTCGATCCAAGAGTATTTTATGATCTATAGTGTCGAAAGCAGTGCTAAGGTTAAGTAGAACTAGTATTGAGATACAGCCTTGGTCAGAAGCTAAAAGTAAATAATTTGTCATTTTAACTAGCGCAGTTTCTGTGCTATGATGCATTTTGAATCCTGACCAAGCGGCAACATTCTAATCTGAAAGATGAAGCCTACCCGGAAGTGCGATAAACTGCAATACATCTCAAATTCGCTAGAGGCCGGTCCCAAAAGGGAGCAAATATCCATAGACGTCATGTTATAATGTCCGTTTTCACAGCATAAATTCATATGTTTACAGTTTGGTCTAATGGACTTTTATTGTAATCTTCAATATGTTCCGCGTGCCTGACAACTGTGAGGGGGGTGAATTTTTTTCTAACTCGTTAGTTTAGATCATATATAGATATAAAACGTATGACAAATAAGGGCGGTTAACTTTGATTGACAGCTGATAACGGGCTGCGCCGAATGAATTTGACGTCTCGGCCATGATCTGACACAACACATCATACCAACTCTGTATCCTTTCTGAAACTTTTGTATTTTGTATTTTCCAAGATTTTCCAGTATGGCGCTGCCCATACCCCCCATAAACAGCCTCAAACCCGTTCTTCAAAGAGTCTATGGGTGACATCACAGACGCTTTGTCCATATTTTTTACAGTCTATGATCCTGACTGAAATTTAAGGAGTCAGGGTCTGTAATTTGCTAGGTTATTTGGATCTAATTGTGGTTTCTTAATGAGAGGTTTTATTACAGCCAGCTTAAATATTCTTGGAACATGACGTAAAAATAAAGACGAGTTAATAATATTGAGAAGAGGCTCTTCCACTACAGGTAACACTTCTTTTAGTGGGTATTGAATCTAACAAACATGTTGTTAATCGCATAAGTGACTTAGTATGTCATAATTATGATTGACCAAAGCATGTTTTCTTTGTGGCAAAAATGGGCTTCTATAGTTGTCATTATCCAGAATTCCTTGTCTGATTATAGAGGGCGGTCATAATTTATGAAATCGTCCTTAGTGAAAGTAAGAAAAAAAAAACAGTTAAAGAGAAAGACAGATGTCCATGCCCAGGCACTGGTGGAGAGAGATGTCTGTGGTAAATTGAGTAATGTATAGAAGAAAGTCTCATCACTCCCTAGACAGTTTTATTCTCCTGATAAAATCTTCTTCTCAGAGCTGAGAAGCAGACTCGGCCTCAATGGATGTTTATCAGACTTTGTAAAAAGCGACGGCTCATTCACTTTAACTCAACGTCATAGCCCTGCACTATGTAGTGGAGATTGGACATACATTCCCCCAGGCAGGTCATTACACTAACCTGCTAGCATATGACTTTGACCTACCTCCATTTTATACCTCTCCCTCCCACATGCAGCTGTAAGCATGTTCCTGCCTTCCTACGGTACCCGATGAACTGTTTTAACACCGTGCAGCATCGGTAGGCAAGAATAAGTTAATTCGATTAAAGCAGAATTCGTGTATGTCAGCAGAGAGCGAAACAGTTGTGGATGACGGAGGAGAGGGGTAGCAGACATAAAAACAGATGAGGAAGGGGGGTTAAAGAACATGAGTGAGTGAGAGAGGGAGGAAGAGGGGCAGAGGGGTTGTGCATCAGTGGGGTGAGAAATTGCTGTCAGCTCATCAGAGTGCTGCAGATGGCACAGGCTTACCTTCATCGGCAGCAGGCTGCCATTTGTCTGCAGTGGTCTGACGCCCTCTCCACTTACCACGTCCTTCACTCCTCACTTTGGCTCTGACGCATCACCCATCCTAAGCTGTTGCTTCTTCTACAGGGTCACAGGAAATGGAAACAATTAAATTCACGACCACCGACCGCTTATGTCAGATCCTAAGCTGATGAAAGGTACGGCTTGTGGGGAAATTTGTAAATAGCCTTTTATTCTATATTTATTCTAAAAATGGATGAAAGAAACAGCTAAGGCACTGCTTGAGGCATTGCAATGCTTAATCTTATGCTTTAATCTTTCACCGAAAGTGGAAATTTATCTGCAAAAGTGCAGTAGGTGTGCGCATTTAAGATGAATGCTATTGTTTTGAACGTCCTATTTATCAAAGAATCCTGAAAAATA